CAAAAAAAATCGCCAAGGTTGTTAATTAATTTTTTTTCTTATTCCTTTATCCTCACTTAGTACATGTACCCCGGCACGCACATTAACATTTTATGGTCACTTGGCGCAATAATGCACCAGTGAAAATGATCCATTCCGGCCAGGCCCAAGAAGTCCGTTGCAGTCACTCTCCTGACTGGGTGACCAGAAAGGGAATTTTGTGCTGCTGGCTGTGTGACTGCAAAGTGTTAAGCTCTGGTGTAAAAAAAATGCCTCCACCCCCTCCCCCCGGTCGTCCCACACTGGTTATGTCCAAAAAAACACCTCGACCAATGCGACCAGTGAGGAGGAACTTCGTTGACCTTGTCAACCGACGGTCCCCGACACACGCAAGAGGTCATGTCACATGATGCGAATGAGCGTTTGAAAGTTCCACTGACAGGTCTCGATGATGGGCCCGACTAACCAGCACTCAGACGAAGCAACAGCAGAACAACGAATGGATTATTTCTAGGCCTATGTCACAATTGTTAATCAGGCCACCATCAGAGAATTCTGGGTAACAAAAAGCGAAAGAAGATCCTGAGCGTATCCAAGTCGGAATTCAAAATCGATACAACTTCGATTTTAGTTGAAATAACATGCGTGAGGCAACCACTAGATCCGGCATTGATGTTTAAAAAAATAAGAGTCCCAAGTTCCTGTCAATAAAAAGTACAATCAGTGCTTTCAAGCAAAAGAGATTGCAGAATTTTTTTTTTTTGAATCGAACGCAACAAAAAATCAGGACACTGAAAATCAGGAAAATCAGGATGCTTGAGATTTGGGGCAAAAAATTGGGATATATCCCGATTAAATCGGGATGAGTGGCAGGTCTGCGTTAGGCTCTACACTACAGCAACACTGCTTGTACGGTGAACAATACACCATATATGAAACAATATTTGAACGAATTGGCCCTTTTGCACAGAGTGTGCTTGGTAGAGTTCAGTGTATAATATTAATAGCGTATTTTCCTGTAACTTTCCAGCATTTCTTCGGTAGGGCATCAAAGAAACGAAAATGCCTCTCATTTGAAATCAAACTTTTTTTGCCTGAGGAAGTCAAAAAGGGGCAAAAAAGCAGGCATCCTCAAGGTAGCCTACAACGTTACTTCCCTTTATACATTCCTTTCTCTTGCTCGATGCCTGTAATTATCTCTGTACAAAAACCCTCAAGTTGCTATAAAACGAATACTCGGATTCAACAAAATTGAAGGTCAGGCCCAACAAGTTACTTGAATCTGAGTTCCACTGTATTCATTTTAGCATTAACACTAGGTCAGTCATTTGCCGAGAAAGTCAAATATTTAAGCGGGTAAGACAAAAGTGTTTACTAAACAAAGTGGTTTGAAGAAGGAAGGACTAACACAAGCTTACAGTCTTGCAAAAGAGCACACATAAAACGCTTCCAGAATATGAAAAACTCACTGCAGTTTTCTCTTCCTCTCTGAACCCGTATCAAGATCACTGGTTTCTTCTGCGGCGCGGAGTTTCTGTCTGGCTTTGTCAAAATCATCTGCAGGATATAAAAATGTGATCCATATTACTTATCATCACAGAAAGAGAGGATAACAACTTAAAAAACCAATGCAAAGTTGTTTGCATCATTATTAACAATGTACTGCATACACATATATTTTTGCTCACAGCACAGTTCTGGTTGCTATTCTAAAAATAAAGTTTACAGTCCTTGAGTACAAGTCTCCAGCTTGGCAACAGTTTACCTTACTTGAGAAAGTGCTCGGTCAATGGGGCTATCAATCACAGGTAATGTAAGGGGGTTGAATTGAATTTCAAAATTTTAATTGACAATAATAATCTGAAAAAAGGACCAAACATTCTACTTATTAAAGTTATTATGTCTTAACAGTAGTTAACACCAATTTCAATCAGCAATGCCTAGAGAGAAGGAAGAAAGTGACAAAACGTACCAGTTTCATAAATGGTCCATACTTTATGTTTCTTCCAGTCAGGGCCAGGAACAGGGACAGCATGGGCTCGTATCATTTTATTGAGAGTGGCTTTATTTCGGCCATGCGGATGCCACACTTCTGATTCATTTATCTTCCAGGCATGGGAAATCATGCCAACTTCCCCTTGTTCAGGGAACTTGATAATTTTAAACATCTGTGGAATAAAATAGGCCAAAATCATAAGATTATGAAACATGAAAGCGGACACAGTTCAGTAGAAGGCTACATTTCTTGTTTTTACTCATATTATGATATTATGTAGACATGACAAAATTTCCTGGAAGGCTCAGCATCTCAGTGTTAAAAACCAACACAACTGCATGGCGAGGGCCTCCGCATTTCTAACTAGAAAACTTGCTATTATACTCATCACTCATTTGGCAGTGGTAGTAGGATATAACTAAAAGCTCTTCCATGGATCATTTCAGGGGACCCATAAAATGTCTGTTTTTCCAAAAGAAACTAAAGACTTGGATACATGAGTATGGACAAGAGTCAACAAATTTATTTGAGGGTATTTGAGGGGGTTCTTCCTCAGCTCAGCCTCTTTTTAAATTGTCATTTCTGGACAAGTTGACGTTAGATTCTTTCTTTTTAAGGAACCTGGAATCTTCAGCTTTTAGGGCGTAATTTGATTGAGACCACTGCCACATCTGACAATAGAAAGGGAAATATCATGCTGTGAATTTAAAAATGAGAATATAATCTCCTGCATCAGACAGTGCAATACATAGTGCGCGCAAATGTAGGTCGAGTCAATGAGCGTCAGTGTGGGGGGGTTCCTGCAAGGCGTAGAGAGTGCAATGAGACAGATCAATCACATTCATAGGATTTTCTAAAAACATTCTGCTCAAAATATCAGTTGGTGTACAGAAACTAGCCAAAAACGTGACATTTTTTAAACCTGCTGTTTTCCCCGACCCCTGGCTTTTTCATTGTCTCATTGATGATATCTGAACACTGGGGCTGCCTCTCACTCGTGTGTGAGTGGATGAACTGTGGACATGCGATATCGCTGAGTGTTTCCTGCTTCTCAAATTCCTGTCGCCAGCGGTTTTGCGAAGATCATTGTTTAATTTATATTTCACATTCACTTGGGAGTCTAATTTGAAATGGTGTTTTTTAAAAGTACATTTTCTTGTCTTTTATTGAATATATCCAACTCATTTACACTCAAGCACAGCGAGTTTGCAAAATGAAAAAAAAAAAATTCTAAAGTACAAATCTGAGTTTTAATTTGAAAATTATTAGAAAACCCATACTCCATAGTTATCGTTGGGGCCAAAACCGGATTATCTTGTAGGGAGGAATTCCGTAACAAGTGACCAATACGAAACAGAGTAGAATAGAGGGTTAGGGCTAGGGTTTATGATAGAGATCCCTTTATTCTCGCCAGGTGAGAATAGCACAGTTGTAGGCCTCTCACCCGGTGTGCGTTCACCGTGATACCAGTGTAAACAAACGTTTCTGCGCTCTTGTGTTGAAAGTGTGCAATTTTTTTGTCTGCTGGCAGAGACAGAGAGTGAGAGAGAGAGAGAGAGAGAGAGAGAGAGAGAGAGAGAGAGAGAGAGAGAGAGAGAGAGAGGGAGGGAGGGAGGGAGGGAGGGGGAGGGAGGGAGGGAGGGAGGGGGAGGGAGAGAGAGAGAGAGAGAGAGAGAGGAGAGAGAGAGAGAGAGAGGAGAGAGAGAGAGAGAGGGAGAAAGAGAGAGAGAGAGAGAGAGAGAGAGAGAGAGAGAGAGAGAGAGAGAGAGAGAAAGACAGAAAGAGAGAGAGGAGAGAGTAGCCGAGAACTTCCGGGCAAAACAAAATGGCGACCGGCATAGTTGGTGCTCGATTCAAAAAGTGAAACAGCTCTAGCATCTTTGTAGATGACCAAATTACTTAACTTGTGTGCTACGCTATAATAACATCATAATTTTATTGTTTTTGTCAATTTGATCATCCATGCCGATAGACAGTATTCAGAAATTAGGAAAAACAGGTCTTGTTTCACACCGGGTGAGAATAGCTAATGCTGGCAAGTCTCACCCGAGGTGAGAGGTCGATTGTATTTTTATTCTCAACCGGGGTGAGAATAGCCACTTCCTTGGTAGGGGTAGGGGTTAAGGCCAGTAATCGTATAGGGGTAGGGGTAGGGGTTGTGTCAGAGTTAGGGTTAGATCTCTTCTTTATTGTGTTTGTTGGAGTGGTCGCTCGTTACGAAAGTCCTTCCATCCTGTAAGTTCATCTCACCACTTCACTCCACATTAAAGTTAAAGTACAAACTCAAAACTCCTGATCGAGAGCAAGCGAATTAAAAATTTTAAAAACCCAAAACTTTGGAACCGTGAATAGATTTAACATACTAATGGGGACTTTGGAGATTGTGGCACTCTTCAGAAGAAGTGGTCCCGGCCTGAATCTAACTCCATAGAAATTTATACTCAAAATCACAAAAACGGAAGTCGAGTAAAAAAGCTGACTGGTCACTGAGTTGCCAGGGTGAAAAAGCCACCGGTCAATTTATAGAAAAGGTCCAAACCCATTTTACACTAGATCTAGATTTATTTTTCGGCACAGCGCAGTCCTAGATATCAAGGCTAGTCTCTGCCTGACAAGATAGAAGGCTTTGAGCAAGCATTCAAATCTTTCCACGAATTTGACAAAGTTTTTGCTAAATTAAAGAGGAAAATTTTGTTGCCTTTAGGTAGATACCAGAAACTAAATTTTCAAAGTAGCTGTATGCCAAATTTATCGGTTCCATATGACAGGCCTATATCTCCTGAGAATTTTAGTACCATTCTTTAACCTCTGTAATTTTTAAAGAAAATTGTAGCTTTTTTAAATAAGATCAAATTTGCTTTTAAGTCGGTAACTGGCTGCAGCCCCATGTTTGGCAGACAATAAAAGAGTAATAAGTGCACCAAATAGCTCCACATTAACAGAGCCTATTTTTTTCAAGACTGTAAGATGAATACAAATCAGTATTTTATTGCCTCAAACACGATGACTTCAACAAAAACACAGAGCGTTGCCCCATCGGCCCCCGCGGCTAACGAGTCGGCTCTATACAGTCGAACCTGTGTAAGACGGCCACCCATTGTCAAGGAGAAAAGTGGCCGTATAAGACAGGTGGCCGTCTTAGGCAGGACTGATCGAGGTGAAGAAAACAAACCATTCCTTTCTGAGAAAACAAACCCTTCCTTTCTGAGGGCCCAACCGAAGGTAGTTGCATTGTTGTTGTTGTTTTCGCTGGGTTTTCTTTTCTTTTGTAGCTGCTTTTGTGAACGGGTGACAATAAAACGAAATGTGTCAGACAAGGAGGATCAAATGCTATGGTAAAACAAACACCCGTACTACCACTCGGAGAACAAGCGACGCTTCTGTCACAAGTTCATGTTGACGTCCATTGTTACTTAGTTACAGACTGGGTAAACAGTGACCACTCATCTCACTTGCGATTTGTGTATGGGTTCTGGGCGGGGCTTATGGGTTATGAGGGATCACACGCTTACCTCACCAGCAGCTGAAAATTAATTTTGTTACCTATTGGTCAACAGTGGGAGGGGCCTACGCAACATGATCAGTTGGAGGGACTACCTAACAATGACAGGTTTTTAGAATTTGACGGCTCGCCCACAATGCCAGGGGCCAATGCACAATTTATGACAAAGCGTAATGGAGTCACTAAGGTGGCCGTCTATGACAGGTGATTTTGCTTTGTGTGATAGGGGTTGTGTGTTGAAATATGGTGGCCGCGGCCGCGTTGGACAGGTGCCCGTTTTACACAGTGAAATTATATAGAAAAAACGCAAGGGGGGAAATGGAAAGTGTCCGTTTGTACAGGTGGCCGTCTTATAGAGGTGGCCGTCAGGGCAGGTTCGACTGTACTTGTACTGTAGTGTACCGAGAGCTCCCCGCGTGGGGGGTCACATGCTTTTCGAGCATCACGGAAGGATTGGTGCAAAATAATTCCAAGCCGATTACTTTATTCTAAGAGAATATAAACTGATCCTTTTAATACTACTACCCTTTTTAAGCCGATATTTTACATATTTCGTGTTTTTAAAAATCTTTAAAAGCTTTGACGGTATTTTAAAAAGCGTTCTATTTTAACGCCAAAGGCCAAAAATATACTACAGGAAAGCTCTTTTAAAGCTCTACAGTTTCCGCTAATGAAAAGACGGTATTTAATCATCAATCCTTCCGCGAAGCATTTGAATGCACATGTGTTAATTTTTTAACTAGCCGATCACGCATTCCAACCTCGAGGGGCTTCGCTTTCCTCAGCAATTCTCCAGCCCCTAATAATCGGACACATGAACAACTTACATCATTGTAACGAGGAAAAGTTGAACTTTTACATGGTGTACCGTATAGCATTTGGTGGTTGATAGCGAAAGAGCAAAGTAAGTAACGTAACAGCGATCTGAATTACCCCGATTTCACCGATACCGCACGCTCGGAAGGCCGCGAGTGGCTGCGAGGGCGTGTTTCTGCTACCTACTTTAGGAAGAAATCATCTGAAACTAAAACAATTGAGAAAGCGGAGACTTAAGGAGTGTGGCAAAAATCCAAAAAGAATTTCGGTACAGTAGAGTCGAGGCAACAAATAATATTACTGCAGCTAAACCTCAGCAGCATACAACAGCAAAAAAAACCACAAGGGGCAACAACAACAAGACCAAGAAAAGAGCTGCGACTGTCTTTGTTAGTTTGGTGTGTTTGTGTGTGCACGTGTGTGTATATGTATGTGGAGTGTGTGTGTGTGTGTATAAGGCCACAAACGGGTGCGGTGTGCGTTTGTGTGTCTGGGAGTGTATGTGTGTGTGTGTATGTCTGTGTGTGTATGTCTGTATGTGTGTGTGAGTGTCACTATGTCTGTGTGTGTAAGTGTATGGGTGTGTGAGTGTGTGTGTGCATGTTTTTCTTTTTTCCTTTTAAGGTGATCTTGTAGTTCCGTTTAAGTCCATGATCCATTTGTTTACATCCAGAGAAGAAATACACGGAAGTCCTGATGACCAAATAGGCAACACAAAGACAGGAATACAACCTAACTGCAAAACATCAAATTATGGTAAAATTCAGGGGGCGGACCCTGAAACCCCCCTCCATATTTATTTTTATATTTTTTATCGAAGTGACTATTTCTCTGAACGTTCGGTTAAATACTCTGCCTGCGCTGGGGTGGGATCGCAATTAACGAACGCCGCATTAATTGTGACAGAATCCCTCTGTCGCAATTAAACGTAGAGTTAGTTGTCACAGCATCACTCAGTCACAATTCACGCTGCCTAAAACAATTGGTAAGATTGAAGAATACCGGACCTGCGGACTGACTTTGCCTCTATGTCTCAACCTTACGAATTCATAATTTTCCCGTTTTTAATATTTCTCAATGGAGAATCTCGGACTGGTAGATCTATTCATTTAAATTTTGTCAGGGGGGGGGAGCCCCCCCTGAACCCCCCCTCCCCCCTCCTCCATCCCTACCACCCACCCCACCTACCCCACTTTCTCGCGCAATAATGTATGTACGAGTGGTCCCGTATTCTTCAATCTTTAGTGCTTCCACCAGCTGAAGCTGAAAAGTAAGGAAAATTCTGCAGAGGGTCCAAGGACAGCGTCCCGGTGGGGGTACAGGGGGCGAAGCCCCTGAAGAAATTGAAATTTAGTGCTTTTAGAGGGTAGAAAATGGCATTTGGGAGCCTGTTTGAAGATATTGCCTACAGCCCATAATATTTATTTTTTCACCAACATTTTGTCTTGTTTGACTTCATCACCAGCATATCTTTCCAATGCTGGAAATGTTTAAAAGCAGGTTCCCCTACTTTCATTGCTACTATAATTCAATTAATTTGTAGTCGCACCATTGACAGCAGGCAAACCTGGGAATAATGAATAGATGTACTTTCAAAATACGGTTGCGCAGCGTATACCCACATTTTTTCTAAATTTTCATGTCTGAAAGTCGCCTGTCACAACCTCGGAACACCACTTCGAATTATTCTTGATTTTATACGTGGTGCTCACTATGGACGGATCGGGCCGATCGCCCGACTGTATCGCCTCAAAAACAAACGTGTTTGTTTTCAGTTTCAAAGCAAACACGGTTGTTCGACCGAGTCGGGCGATCAGCGCAATCGGCCGATCCCATCCGTAGTGGGCACGACCGTATCAGCATATTAATTATCATATTATATTTCTTTCATCGCGGCCCTTATATTGCGTTCACGTGCCGTAGAATCTTCGCATTGATAATTTCTCTACATCTAGATAAAATTTGCGAAAAAAGTTTCTTTCCGACAGTAATTTTCTGACTAAGATCAAAATCAGTCTTGATCAACGCGCAGATTTTCCAGCCGCGGCAACATTCGAAGATAGACAGAAGGAATGAGTGAATGACAGAAAGGAGGAAGTTGGCACAAAAGGTTCGCCAGATTTTGATCCATCTGCAGGTAAAAAATGTACTGCCGACCAACACGCAAAATGAACGCATGGGACTGGGACATAGCGGTATAATGTCCAATTGCAGGAAATGCGCAATTTGGCAGGTTTCTACGTTCGTTAACTTGTTGCCGAGAGAATTACCGTAATTATCCGTACCTTATACAAGACGATACGAAGGCGAGTACGGAATTTCGGCAGTCCTGCACTGTAGCAGTTTTTTTTTTACGGAGGGAGTAGATAATGATGGAGGGACAAGTACGGAACTGGCAGAAAGTACGGATTTCCGTAACGAAGTGATTATTCGGACTCGAGTCCGAATATGAAAAAATGTTATTCGGACTCTGATTCTTGTCCAGCATGACATCACTTCCGACTTCCTGTGACTCGTGAATCCGGCTTCCTGTCCTGTCTCACTCGTGACTCGCCTCAGGCTGGGTAGAGACCGGGATCACTTCGGGCAAAAAGGCGTTTTGTGCAGGAGCCGAGTTTTAATCTTATGATGAATTTGAGGCCGGCCTGAAAAGTTATAGCGCTTCTAATAAATGTTTATTTATCAAGAGGTCATCAGAAGCAATTAAAAATGGCTCGTTAGCATGTGTCGGGGTCGGAAGGGCGGCCTGCACACATGTGGCTGTGTGTGTGTCAGGGAGGGTGGTGGGGGGCACTATCGGTCCGGGCTTTGAACGTCGCATAAGCGTCGGCCTTTTTCCCCCTGGCAACTTATCATTATTACAATAATAAGCTAGTCTTGACGTAGATCTACGTAATGAATACGTAATGAATTGTGCGCTGGTCTATGGAATCAAAAGTTGCCGTATGCTCAGCTCTACACAGCAACACAACTTTTTCTTGGTAAACAATCGATATGATTATGACACAGACTTGTGTATTTGAACGGTATTTTTTTACTTTCCCTCCCGTCTCACACTCAGCTACCAGTTGTCTATTTTCTACTAAATATTGATGCGCTGAACACGAATATCAACTTCATTCCCGTCGCAAATTAATAGTGTTTGAAATATTTGATTGTTTTTAACCGAGATAGACATGCTTTGGACCAATCGGGGGGTTCCAGGGGGGCATGCCCCCCTGTTTGTGCCCCCCTGTTTTTACACCCATAATTTGATATTTTACAGTTAAATTTAAAATTGTCTTGAAAATAATTGATTTGCAACAGTTTTAGTGGCTTTATGTGTGATCTGCAGCAAACAGTACAGCAGTTTGACCCCTGAAACAGTGCATCTGTGTGCGGGAGTGAAAGTAAAAATTTACCATTTGAACGAATCGGTCTTTTTTTTTTTTTTTACACAGCTCATAATATGCCAGGTGGTCTGCTAATCTTCAATTTTACCTTTTTCTACAACAATGAAAGTGGGAAACGTGGGGGGGGGGGGGGGGGGGGGAGGGAGGCGAGGCGTATCAATGAGGCGGCGGGCATTGGATCGGCAGATAAGGTGTGGGGAATACTAAAAAGGCCGGCACTATTTCTCCGAACGTTCGGGAAAATAAAGCTGGGCACTATTTCTCCGAACGTTCGGGAAAAATAAAGCTCGGCACTATTTCTCCGAACGTTCAGGAAAATAAAGCTGGGCACTATTTCTCCGAACACTCTGAAATAGGGCCTACCATCCTTTCCCCCAAATTTCGGATATTATATAGATCTATAATTATAGTATGGGCCTACCAAAGATTGTTCGTATACAATATGGTTCAATCGGTCCAAAAAATGTCCGCCGTAAATATTTATATAAAGAAATGCTACAATTCCAAACAGTTTTTCGCTATAGATATGACGTGTTGCCTATGAAGGGTGCTGCTTTTAAACGTAATGTGTTGTGTTCACTCGTGTGCTGTCTAGATCTAGATCTACGGAGGGTTATTGATAACGACACATAGAACTGGCATCTGCGTTTGTCACTGCTGCACTGACACTGGCAAGCCCCTTAATGTGTGTGATTCCATAATTTACATGTAATATCCTGTACTTTTTTTTAAATTACGCACATTTAGGGTTAAAACTGCCAATCTTCTTCGGACAGGTGGACACACGCCCTTATTTATTATTAATGTTTGTTGTTGTTTATGGGCTGTTCTAATTTTGATTTCTTTCTGTTGTGAAACCTTTCTTTTTCACGTTTTTACACCCATCTAAAAATCTCATCTAGACTAGCTGTTGAAAATTGAAATAGATATAGAACCAAAAATTTGCTCCTGTGTGTGTGTGTGTGTATGTATGTGTGAGTGTTTGAGTGTGTCTGTGTGTGGTAGTAAGTGGAGAGTGAGGAGTGTGTGTGTGTGTTTGTTTGTTTTTCGGGCTTTATTTCAGCCTTTATTCAGTAACAGTTCAAAGTATACAAAAATAGAAACACAGGATCCATTCACTCCAGGACTCATGAGTCATTCGTCTCTTTCAGTTTCACTCTTTCATTTAATTCCCGTGTTCTCTCCCGCGGCTCATCCCCGTCCGCATGACTTTCATACCCCACCCCATCCCTCCAGGCACACACAAAGAAAATCTCACTTGTTCCCTGCGAACCATGGACTATAATATAGGCAAAACACCGCCTGAGCTGCATTCCTTTTGTTCGTGAGCTGTGGACCAGGCCAGGGGTGGTCAGTGTCGTCGTCTTGTAGTTGCTGTCGCCTGTGGATACACTCGCACATTCTTCCTTTCACCCGCTCTTTCACTCACACTGTCTCTCCATCCACAGTTCAGCTCGTCATATGTTCAAAAGTTGCCCACTAGTTATGTTTAGCTAGTGTGTATACATGTGCATGATGGTGGTGGGTGTGTGGTGGGTGTTACTGAAGGTTGTCTGTAGGCGGGCTTGCCATGCGGTACGTGTTCCTTCCCAGACCAGAGGCAGAATGAAAGTTGGCGCCGAACTCTCGCAATAAATAGGCAAAAAATCACGAGACCGGAAGCCGAAAACGGTTCGGAGAAATAAAGATCGGCACTATTTCTCCGAACGTTCGGAGAAATAGTCACTTCGTACTAAAAAATGGCGGAAAATTGGAAGCACTGAATACTGAACGTTAGATCTATAGAACGAAGACACTTCCTTTTTTCCGGACCCGAGTCCGAATAACGACGAATAAAAATACGGAAGAGTGGAAGCACTTTATCTTCCCAAACAATTTACCTGGAATGTCGAGGGGACGGCTAAGAATGTAAACAATCCGGTCAACCCAACGTGAACAGTAGATTTCTACTGCCTGATTTGCGCCAGAAGCCGAAGGCGGCGAGAAGACAACACTACAACACAACAATCAAAATGACAGGTGAAATCCAAGAACCTTTGGAGTGTCTAGCGACTCTTGTTCTCAACAGCTCTGGGAGATTGGGAGACGGAAGTAAACCATTGCAATGCAGGCTAGATCGGCTATGCTCCCAATCTTGTAGGCCTACTGTTATTTTTCTAACCACGAAGCCACACTCCCAATAATATTTTGGGCAGGCGAGAGATCAAAGATGCGTGCAAGGGGTGCTATTCCTATTCTTCTTCAGGGGAAACGAAAGAGAGCTTCAAAATAGCGACTGCAGCGCTATCTGTAGAGAAGCGTACAGACAGGCTACTGCTAGCCTACTGCCGTGGACACTTCTTTTGCTGAAAAGAGCCCACTGGGCAAACGGCGAAACAGGGTGCCCATTAGGCCTATAATTATACGGGGTGCAAGCCTACGGATGGATCGGCCGGCGATCGGGCCGATCGCCCCACTTTCGTTTCAGGCGATCGAGTCGGGAGATCGGCCCGATCCTGCCGTAATGGGCACCCCGTATAGTGTATAGATAATGATCCCTTGGATCAGCCCCGGTTTGGATCTCAGAAGGGAATGATTTGCTTTCTTCATTTTGATTAAATTTGATCAATCCTGCCTAGATCTATATCTAGATCTAGAACTATTCTATAACGGCAACCTGTTTTACGACCACTTTCTCTTTTGATTGTGTTGTTGTTGTTGTTTCTTAATCTGTGGTAGATCTATCGGTTGCATGTGCTCAAAAAATATTTGGTCGAAATTCAAATTCTAAACGATGAAAAAAACAAGGATACACAATAATGCTATTGGGTGGTTGGCGGGTGCTCTGGTGTGGTTTGCTTCTTCTTTCCTTTCAAAAACCTATCGTCCTTATCTCCCCTTCTTTTTTATGTTTGTTGCTCTCTTGTAAGACTTCTAATCTTCTGGCGCTCATACACATATGACCTTATGCAGTTGCCAGCGCCGTAAAACCTTCATTAAAATTAACTAAAACAATAATGCTATACCTGCATGCTGTCAAATTACCTGTGCTCCAAGATCACAAGCTACTATGCAGCTGTGCAGCATAGATGAGCACTGTAATGACCACCGCATGGCCACGCGGGCTGTCTAGCGGCCGGTCCACCAGTTGCTTGACCAGACAAAAGTCTGCGTCTAGGAGACATTTATGATGTTGAATCTTAGATCTAGATGTGCGGAAACTGTGTACAGATGTCGGCCAGCCGATGTAGACAAAAGGGTAATAATCTGTTGCACTTTTGCAGTATTATTAAGACTGCTGAAGGCGATCCCGGTGCTGAGCGGGGGTGAATTTATGATGGGCCTTTACATGACCCATTAAAAAGGGAAAGATATCGTATCAATATCATCGTTACATTATAGGCCTACATGGTTCTTTCTCATCTACTAGAACTTTTTCATTGTCTTGTTTTTGTTTGTTTTGGTTTTGTTTTGTTTTTGGGTTTTTACGCCTACGAAACTCCACCAGGAGGTGGGGTTAAACAAGTCTTTAGTTTGAAAAGACAAATTAAAAAGTTCAGATCCCACTTTTTTTTTTTTGGGGGGGGGGGATGAGGGGTTAGCAATTTGACTGATTAGTAGCTTGCCTCGCTAGCCTCGTGATTCAACCGCCTAAGCGCCAAGAGAAAATTTTTCCAGAAGAAGCAGGAAAACTTTTATTTCTTTATACTCGAACCTACGAATCTGAAATTCAGATATATTATATAATATGATGTAAGACGATGGTCTGTAACTAACTTTAAAAAGAAAAAGCTTTCTTACGTAAGTTACTGACATGGGTGGTTAAGACGTACCAAAATCTGCGTGATTCTACCGCCTAGGTGACAGTATATGATGGCGTCTAGACGTTCAAATCACGTTAATCAACGCCACTCAACGAGCGCCAATGGTCGCTCGGACGTTCGAGTTATCGACAAAAGCAAATCATAATAAACCTAAGAGTAATCATAAAGAGTAATTGTTTCAGTTATTTGGTTGGGTCTTCTGGGGCAGGACTTGTTTGGCCTCATGGAGTTGGTAAAAAAGACCATTCATCTTAACGTTCAATTTGTACTGAATGTTTTCGTTTAGTGTGTATCAAAGGCAACGAACGTTTGTGACAACGTGGTTGTTTTTGTTTCAGCCAGATCTGAATGGTCCAGAAATCGAACGTCAAAGTCAAAGAAGGGGGGGGGGGGTATTGTCTTGCTTTCTTAAAAACGTTCAAGATTATCCATGAGCACATAGCCTAGACCATTTTTCAAGGACCTTTCGATTACAATGTGTGTGCTGTCCACTTCCATTTGTGTTTGTTCCTTTTCACGGTATCTGTGTTCAACAATGTTGTTCTATCTGGTACAAATGTCGCTTATTGCATTTGATAAGATAGCGTTGTGCTTTGATAAGTAGCCTACAACAACCATCTCTGTGTATAATGAACGTGGCATATTAAATTATTGTCTGGAAGTTACTGACACAAGAAGAGATTTCCTTGGTAATTAATGGTCCTTCTCCTTGGTGCCAAACGTGACACTTCACATCTTGAGTTGTCACATTTTTAAAAAAGACACTAATGTGGTCCTGTACCTTATGTTTTAGTGCAACAGATGCGTTCAACACCATATTAACAATTAGTCCGCTTCCAAGTTCGTGCACACTAGACATAATTTGGTCCCATCCACTGGGTTTTTCGCAAGCTTCATGTTAGATTCTTTTCCTACCTTGCACACATCTCATTGTTGATCCTTCCGACACATACAGCAACAGGTTGCTTTTTTAAAATTCTCTCTTAAGTCGCCTGGGACAATGTGCGACTCTGTTTTCTGTGGCACTCTCAATAAAGGCCTCTGGGGCTTAGAAAGTGACAGCCAAGCAAGATAGATTCTGCCTGTATTGTCTGTAATAATGGGAAATAATTTCGTCAAGTTTGTCGAAGAATTACTTATCACAAAATTGCACGTCCTCTTCTATTCTCTGGCAATATGACAATTGTGGAGCTCCCATCTCCAAGTCACGTATAAACTGTCTTTGCAACAGTCACGAATAACCACTGTGTGAGGGCAGTTGTTGTGTACAAACTCATTGTTTTGCATATATACAGGTAGAATGTATGAGATTTTTTTTTTCAAATTGAAGTGTAGAGCTGGAGAGTTGAAGTTGAAAGTTTGTTGAAGGGAGAATTTTAGGGGCGAATATGTTTATAATATGGGTTTTTTTGTGTTTTTTTTAGTGACAAATTAAATATCATATCTACATCACAGATTAACGAATCAATGATTCAAGAATGGTAGGCCTACATGATAGACACAGCAAGGGGCGCACACTTATTAAAGTAAATTAAGAAACGCGAAAAGTCGCGATAAAAATATTTTCCAATAGTTGTTCCGAATAATCAATATGAAATACGCGCCCCTCAGCTGTCAATCATAGACTTTTTAAAAAATTCATTCGTCAGTAGCTTTTGACACAATTTGCCGACGTGGTCAAATCAGTATAAACATATTCGTTGATGCCATCTTGCCCTTTCTCAACTACACTACCAAACCTAGTGATAGATTACGCAAAGTGCCTTGAAAAAATCTCCTGGCTATCGACAGGGTTCGATCTGAGTTGTTTTGATGTTACCCTCAGTCTGTTTTGACAAAAGCCACAGTCGTGTGGGTCACGCCGTCTACGCGACAGGTGAACACCTCAACAAGCCACCGAATCTGTGGGATTCAACCGCCTATTCGCCACCGGGCAGCAAAACTGGCACTTGGGAGTTTGAATCACGTGGGAATTGGGGACTGGTGTGATATAGGCAATCGATTCACTGAAGGATTGAATCACTTTGCCGTAATCTGTCAAACTCGGGATTTAAACATAAGGTGTATCAAAGGCAGTACTACATAAAGGGATCAAAAAATGATTTTCGAAACGTTTGTCACTTAGGCGGTTGATTCACGCGGCTAGCGATTTGCAAAAACAGAGAGAACATCCTGAGAACAGCTATTAAGTACTTAATTTAATTAAGTTTGTCAAACGTCAAACCTAATTCAGAGGGGGAGGGGGGGAGGGGGGGGGAGGGGCTCGAGATCCCATGGCCTAGTGGTTAAGGTGTTGGCCTCTCATTCAAAGGTCCCGGATTCGTATCCGGGTAGCGACCGAAAAATTGTCTTCTCTAAAATTGTCCCCCTCCACCTCCTTTCCTGCTCTCTAGCAATGTTCTGTCGTCTGCTTCCGTCTCCTCTTTCTGCCCCCATCCCATCCCCTCACCTTCTTTGCCCCCTGCTCTGGGCCCCTGACTCTTTCTGCAGCCTTTCTACTGATACTCCTTGGCTTTTTCTTACTGCAGTCTTTCAGCCACACCCCTGATCTTCTGGTAGGAAAGATCTACACCTAGTCTTCTCGGACACGGGCGAAAAATCTCGGAGGGCCCGTGTGCAAGTTGTGCTCGTTAAAGATCCCTTGGTGGTCCAAAATCGATAAGAGTAGACTTCGGCCGCCACCCGGGCAAAATTCAAAATTACCTACCAACTGAAAAAGTTAAATGTGTCCCGTGCGCTCATATGACCTTATGCAGTTGCGAGCTCTGTAAACCACTTATCAAAAAAAAAAACCCCAACCCAAACAAACAACAACAACAACAACAACAACAACAACAAAAACCCAACTTAACCGACCCAAAGAAACGACAAACATTGAGGTCTACTTCACACTCTGAAAGAGCAGTCGAAGAGTCCAAAATATTCTTGAATGAAAATCTCTACATTATCTCCAAAGGTTCCCAGTCATTATTGCAGACAGTTCCTCGGTTGTATTTGTAATCAACGTTTAAAAGTTTGACCGACAAAAACAGACTTTATGTAATTTATTACATGTGAAGGAAGTAAAATATCTCTACTGTGTCCTCTCTCTCTCTTCACAGCACCGCGCGCAGCACGCCCAGTGCAACATACAAAGTGGCGCCAACTATGGTCACCCAGCGCGAACTGCAGTCTTTTTTTAAACAAAAAAAATTAGATCTAGATCTAGTAGTGCTGGGCAGTGAGCAACGGTATGGGAGGGAATAATAATATGTGCAGAAAAAATGAAGGGTGAAGGTGGTGGGGTAGGCCTGTGTGACTG